TACAAGGAGGACCAAAATCACTTTCCAAATTACTTTAAAATGTACATTGACTCACAAAAGAATCTATGATCACACACTTCAACTTAAACTCAGATCTTGTCAGCATGCTGTTGTAAAACTTTTGTTACAGTGTTTAAACCTTTCAAAGTTATATTCTCTAATCCTTGACATTTAACAATATATACTTCTTGGAAGACAACCAAGCAAGAACTACAGTTGAACCTAGGAAAGGGTGCATGACATAAAGTTAAACACAAGCCAAACTCTTCCAAGAAATTTCTCACAGGTGCCCTTGCTGTCAGCTGCCTAAACAGATTAACTAGGAAAGAAAATAGCTAAAAACAATGTCTAAAGAAAACAGCAAACTTCTCAGAGCATTCATCAAAGAATTCTGCTATTTTTCCTGGAAAGAGAAATCTGAAAGAAAATAACAGATGATTGTTCTAACTACCAAGTTTAGAAATCAGGCCTTTGGTATTCCTGTTGTAACCTGTTAAAAAAAAAAACACCAGAAGAACAATGCCCAAATGCTTCTCTCCACTAACTGGTTTTGGAGACAAAGGTTCTGCACCGCACAGCATAAAACAAAATTTCTCTCTAAACTCTAGCTTTCTATATGAAACTTCACTCCCCCACAGCCAACATATGTTTATGGTTCTCTCAGCTACCAAATCTTACCTGCTGAGTATCATTTTCACTCCTTCTCACCCCTTGAGCCTCTTGCTCTTATAAGGTTTTGCTTTCCCTTCCATAAACATACGTTTTGTTCTCTCTGGACTTCTCCATCTTTTACCACAGATTACTCTGAAGAATGATCTTTCTCTGACAAATGGGAAAAGCAGAGTGAAAATTTTGTATTTACTAATCCTTTAGGTTGGGGGGGGGTATAATATTGATCTCTGCAAGCATCTATTTTAACATTCTTTTACTGTATACAGATTAACCTATGGCTTTGGCTTTCTGTTACACTGTCACAGGAAACTTTCACATGACCCAGACACAATATACCCATAGGCAGCCCACCCTGAATAAATCCAAGTATTCATAAGAAAATAAATATAGGGAGGGGGAAAAAAAGAGGGAATGTAGTAATTGTGAAAGAAGCCATTCTATTAGTACCTGTCTCATATGATCAAAACAAAACAATCTTCACCACAAGAATCATGTTTTAAAAGTTTTGCTGCAATACACTAAGAATTTTAAGGGGGCCTCCCTGGTGGTGCAAAAGGCTAAACATAGCACTGCAGCACAATTTTGATCCCAGGCCAGGGAGCTGACCCACAGAGAACAATGAGACCTCTCTTATCTCGCCTGCTCTCCCCTAGCAGTGTATTTCAGTATATCTGTCTGTTCTGCCCCTCACTCTGTCTCTGGTGGAATCCTCTCCCCACCCACATCTCTGGCCTGTACTCCAGTTCTTGTACACATAAAATAAATCTTAAAAAAAAAAAAATGTTCAGGGAAAATACAAAATAATTATACCACAATAAACAACAAAAACTACTCACAGGTTAAGTACAGCGGACACATTTATATTGTCAATTTGTGTGTTAAACTCCAGTTCCCTTGCACTTATAAAATAGGGAAAAACTCTTCAACAATTATGAATTGACAGATCCTCTATTCTATTCCAGAATTTTCTTTCCTTCTTATGTTGTTTAGGAACTAAATTCTCTCAATTTTGGATTGTGAATCACATCCTACAGTCAAGGTCCTTACCACTAACTAGCAGATCATCCTTTTTGAAGAAGTTTATCCAATAAACTACTGCTAAACTTGTGAGGTGAATCATTTTCCAGGGAATGGACACTGGGCCTTGTACTCCCGCACATTCTTGCTGAGTAATTAAAATCATTCTTTGGGCAACAAATGTAATTCCAGAGTAAGTAAATGAGAGATACAAAGAGTCCACAAAGGCAAAACGCTCTGGGTGGTCTATCAGGATGTTAACAGCAGCCAAAAGAAAAAAAAAACAAAAACTCAACTAAAAGTAGCCTAAATCCTATGTAACCACTTAGTGGAAGAGTCTGGAAGTAGAACCAAAAAGCAGCTCTATGATGTTAGGTGCTAAGCATCCCACCTGTTCACTAAACCATGTCCAATGGTACGCGCAAAAAAAAAAAAAAAGTGGCTTTTCTGCCAGGACTGTCTGAGAAAACTTCAGATACCTGCTGGCTAATCTGCCCACTAGATACTACTGGTCAAGCCTTATACACATCCATATCCTAGGAAGAATAATGTAGATCTAGATTTTTAGTCTCTACATACTCTTGTGTAATAAAATATTAATGATCTGTCCTAACTGCAAAAATTCAGCTTTTTTAATTAGCGGCAAAAAAAGAAAGAAAGAAAGAAAGAAACTCACCAAGGTCTTGGAAATAATCTAGTTTGAGTGATGATTTGCTTTTTTTTAATTCAAAAAAAAATCAGGCTAATCTAATTAGGGTCAGTTTGAGAGCTAACATTTCTAACACATTCTTCAAATTATCAATTGTAGGCATTAGTATTATTTTCAGAAAGAAAAATGTACACTAGTGCTTACCCACAAGACAATCTAAAAGGCAAATTATTAGGCTAAAACCAGTAACAAAACTCTGACACAAACTCCCACAACCTCCCTAGACCAAGTGAAGAAAGAATTCTGATTGTTTTCATAAGAACAGAGAAACTTGTTCAGTTCTCATTAACATACATACAGTAGTATGACAAGGTCTGTACCCTAGAGTTAATAATATTACTACTTCCAAAGCAAAAACAGATGACTGGTTGGTCAACTTGAACTTTCTCCAATATTAACCATCTGCCAAATTATTCAGAATCCTCCTAGGAAAAGTCATGATCCTCCACACATTAATTAAATGAGTCAATGCTTTAATCATACTTTAGATAACTAATCTATTTCAATCCTGATAATCTAATTATCTAAATCTGGTAAATAAGTTCCAACCTTAGTCCAAAATGATTAAAGGATTAAGTTTACAATCAGTGAATACAAACTGTAAAAGATATACTATAATGAACTTCAAAACAGTCTGTTCTAATAGGAAGCACTTATTACCTGAAATTCAACAAATAAAACACACTATTATGCCAAGATTTCCTAAATCAATTCTAACTAATGGAGTCTCTTATGCTTAGGTGGATTTAAACTTACTAGATTTAAAATCCCCTAAGTGTTTAGTCTTCTCTGATCACCTAGAATCATGTATACCATCTCCATTCACACTGCTTTGATTTTTCAACACATCACATTTTACCTCATTTGTTTCATGAGTTAGTTACTACACAGAAGAGGAACCATCTCTCTTGGCGCTCTACCTCCAGAGCCTAATATAGAGTCTGACATATAGACCTTAGTAAACATATGCTAAACGAACAAATGTCTTAGAAATACAGAATCACAAAATAGTAACAGTCTTTTTTGTTGATACACATTCATTGTTATTTGTAATTATGGAGTTAAAATTTCAACAGCAAATAAATCACTAAGAAAGGTAAAAACTTGCATACAACAACTGCTACAGTAAGAGGCAGTCACCAGTTATAAAGCACATGCTATGGGCCCTCCCTGGTGGTGCAGCAGGTTAAAGCACAGCACTGAGAAACTAAAGCCACTTCCCCATGAGTTCGATCCCTGCCTGCCCCGGAGGTGACCACATGGCATGGCAGACCTCTCCTGACCCACTCGCTGCTCCCCTCAGCAGTGTACTTCGTCGATCTGCCTGTTCTGCTCCCCGCTCTGTCTCTGGTGAATCCTCTCACCCTCCGCATCTCTGGCCTGTGCCCCAGTTCTGTACGAATAAATATATAAACCTTTAAAAAAAAAAAAAAAAAGCAAAAAAAAAAAAAAAAAAAGCACATGCTATGTTCTATTCATGGACTCAACATTGTAACATCCATAATGTAGGAGTTAGTGCCATCTTATGACTGAGGAAATACGATCTGAGAACTTAAATAAGATGCCCAAGATCAGACACCAATCAAAAACTACAAGTGCTCTTACTCCCAAATCTGTCATGCTAATTTGTAATCTGTAAGTGCAACAAAAGCTGTATCACAATAGCCAGATACAGAGCATCTGGGAAAAGAGCCCAGAACTCAGTGATTGCTACACCTGAGTATCAGGCTCTCAAAACACAAGCTATGTTTAAATATGTATCACTTGAGTCTTTGTTCTAAAAGAAAGGAAGCACCTCAGGGTCACTGGCTGATCTAGTAGCTAAATGGAGGTAAAGGATAAATAACTTCTGTTCTCTTGACCTGGCCTTAGCAGTAAGCATTCGGTGAAAAATAGGGCATGTTGTGTTTTTTTTCTCTAATCCAGTTCTACTTTAAATTAGAAGTCATTTTCTAGTGTCTAACCAGTTCTTCATTTCTTTCCATTTTGTAATTTTCATAATTTTTAAACAAATGGTCAAGTTCACTTGCTGATTCCATAAAATCAATTGCTTCTATAGGCCAGTCACAATTTCTAAGACATGTAGGCATTTTTCAATCCAAGGATCTCATGTTCTCCTACAAAACTGGCAGCCACATGGAGGCTTGAAGCTCTTTTCTGCATCTGCATTTATAATTTGTTACAAGATAATTTCACCCACAGAGAAGCTCATATTCAAGATAAGCCTCTAAGTCACTGTTATATATTTTTTAGGTAGTTATAGGAGAATCTGTCTCACTTTTTCTATAATACAAATATTATCCCAATTTGTAAGTGACATTAGAAACCAATAAAGATCTTAATTTACAAACAAGAAAAGCGATCTTAGACTAAGTAGAAAAATCATAGTGTCACTTAGCAATGTAAGTGACTGAAAACAAAAGCAGTTAAAAGTTGTAAGATATATTTAAATTAAGCACATAACATTTGTGCTTTAATTATACATTCAAAAGCCCTCCGATTATGGTTGCCCACAAACTTAATCACTTCATTAGACAAATGCATTGTTTTCCATACTACAACATGTTTCAGCAGTATTTTCCAGCTTGACAGTTTTACTTACTGTCTTGGAAGCAGTATTAATGTACTGCATCACCATTTCTTTTTTGATACTGAAGTCCTTTTCCCGCAATGGTGCCTTTTTATCTTCATTTAAATTCATATCTTCCTGGAAAACACAATTAAAAAGCCTCATTTTAGAATCTAAGTAGAGCAGCAAGTCTACATATACCATGAACAGAAGATCAATAATTTGTGACTAAAGCAGCATTAATTGTTTTGGAATGATTTACATGTAGTTCTGCCTGGAGGAAAGAGAAAATAGCTGAAGATAAAGAGAATAAAGGATTCTAGATCATTTTAACAGAGTAAGCATTAATGTACTTTTTTTTTAAATAATGCTACTGCCTACAGTTGACGTCTTAAAAACGCTTTAGAAATGTTAACGCTCCCAAACTTTTAAAATGCATGTTAAGCCATTAAAATCCATTCATGTCACTATAGATAAACATTACAAGATTTGTCCTTGATGAGATTATAAGGAATTAAAATATATACATACACACATACATATGTCATTTTTACATACACACACATGCATACATAATTCTTACAACTGCACCTGAAGCTATCTTGCACTAAGTTGAAAGAGCTATTCCATTTATCACAAAAATTAAAAATTATCAATAAACCAACTACTTTCCAGATTCTGATATAAAATACCTAGTACTAACCTAGCAAAAGATGAAGCATTCTATAGTTTTAATTATGTCTTCTTCACCCTTATCAAAAATGTGTATTAACTAGTTGACTCACTGGTCTAAATCACATTGGTGTCACACTCCCAAAAAAATGCCACCACCTAAAAAAAAAAATCAAACATTTCTCAACAGTACCAATGTTGTTATAGGCCTATTTCTAACTCAGAAGTCATACACACCTACATAAGTACATAAATTGCTGCCAGGATCTATCAGTGAAGTTGCTTAAAAGGCTATTTCGGCAAATGAAAGGGAGCCCTGGAGTGGCTGAAGGAGAAGGACAGCCCAGATGAGTTGGTCCTGTGGCTAACCCTGGGGCATTTGTGATATGTGATGCAAAACAGCTAAATGCATATAAACTCTATATGAGCTCAGAAATGGATCCATAAAAATCAAGGCTTTGGATCACCTATACAGCCCAGCAAGTTAATTTCTTCCAAGTTTTAGAAGAGTACTACAATTCATCGGACACTCAAGTTTATGCCTTTAGCTGACTCAGATTTTGGCTACCAAACCCTTTGAACACTTAGGAGTCAAAATTTCCTTCATTTCACCTTGATATAAATATTTAAGTTCTTGAAAGTTGTTCCATTTGACACTCTGATAAAAATGATCATCAGCAATGTCACTCTGGGCTGTTCTACTGAGAAAAATTACGTGAAAATGGTATTTCCCCCTCTCTATATCAGTGATTCTCAACAGACCCCCCCACCACCCTGCAGGAAACATTTTGTATATATATGCTGGAGGAAAGGAGAGGTCTTTTGAATGTCACAGCATCTGGGTTCCTACCACCACATTTACAGGGGCATGATGTTAAGACATACTGAAACACAAAAGCTAATCGTACACATTAAAAAATGGTCCTGTGTTCTACAGAGAGATGCACGAGTTTTGCTTTTTTTTAAAAGACAGAATTCTCTAAGTTTAGACTCTAATTCAAATTAACATGTAAACTGCCACGTATTAAATATTTTGTATTGCATGGTTTTAATATACATTGCATTTTCCAAGAATCCAACTACTCTAAACTAGCTAAACTGTGGTTTGTTAGGAATTTTTTGTTTTTAACTACACCAACAGTTGTGCTCCATTTCTAGAGTATCCCAGAAATAGTATGGCCTGTGGAATTTGAATCACCAAATAGCATCCCTATGTCAACCTACACTGTAGCTACTGTACTCACAGTGGCATGAAACAAGATGTAAGAATGTACCTTCATTATACCTTCTTCAACAGTTATGGTTAATTGTTTATACTGAGATAGCTTTATTATAGAATATAGTAAGGTATTTTATTTTTAAATTATGAGTATAATAACATTACCTACAAAATTCCACTAAAAGTAACAGAAAAATCAGGAAATTGTTACTAAAAAAAAGTGGGGAGAATCTAACAGCACTGAAAATCTCCATGTTATTCACTCTATCTTTATTTTCTTTCTGCCTAATGGCCACATATGACCTGGCCTGTATAAATTAAAATACTTCATAGATTGAGAAGCCCATCCATTGTGGTTGAAATCAAAGTTTCAAGGTGGACAGTTCAAAGAAAAAAATGGTTATGCATTCTTTTGGAGAAGATATCTTCAAAACCACATGAGCTCATACACTAAAGTGGCATTATAAGATTAAGGAAGAAGCTCAAGTGGTATGTTTAGAACTAAAGACTCAGGTTTTCTAGCCACTGTCTTCCAATTTATTCTAGCTTCTCTCATTTAAATATGACACTCACATTTACAACATTCACGAGGTGACAGTCTCAGGTTAAAACAAAAAAGGAGTATTACAAATGAGTTTAGAGTCAACTACCTACAACTACAAACCTTTCAAACCACACACTTGCATTTGGCTTCATCTAGTATGAAGTCTTCCTCTGAATGCCTGAGGAAATGTCACTGGAAATAATAAGAAAAGTTCTATCCATTACAAAGGGAAAAAGAAATAAGGAGGCATGGAAAGACAAAAGGAAATACATGTGTCATGAAGAAGCAGGATTTTTAGAGAACATTTTGAATCTCTGCCTATAGAGAAAAGGGCTAAAAGAAGAAAGCCCTTAACACATTGGCACTTCACTTCTGGGGGTCACCTGGCCATCAGAAAATGTGTTACATGCTTTTTGTCTAGAAAACATATCTATCTATATGTTGATACAATTTAAGAGGACTTAAGCATCTTCCAAAGCTATTCAAAAAATTAGAGGGGGATGGTGTCAGGAAGGATAGATAAGTCCCTGTGTTCAGGGAAAATCTTCAACATGAGAATTGAAGTAACATAAAATCTAAGCTCCATATATTACAGAACAGATATGCACAGATATAAAATGACTTTGAACTACCTGGCTATTAGAAACAACTGGAGAAATGGAGTTGAGACTCCCAATCAGTGCTGCTTCCAGACATTTGTAATGGGTAAGTGGGTCCCTTGTGAGCAAATCACCTATTTTCAGTCTACTTGGTTTGCATCTGTCCAACAGAATCATATCGCTATCTCTACTGTCCTAAGTCAGGTTCCCCAGAGGCAGAGCCTCAGACAGAGTCTGACAGCTAACAAAGGTAGGTCTAGGGTAAAGGGAGGGAAAGAAGCAAAGCAGACCAGGGAAAAGAGATGTAAGAAAGTGCAGCTCAGCTGGCTTCTCCCTTCAGCATTCCCGCACAGCAGTTACCACCCGGAAGGAGAGCTCAGTTTCAATATGCCCTCCTATCCCCCTTTTGCCCCCCAGATCTAGAGCCAAACCCCTGTGTAAGAGGGTAGCTCTTAGCCACCAGCTAGCTAGCTGTCAATCCTTATTTCCTGTGGTCACAAAAGGCACCAACAGCATGTACCTTCATTATCATTTTGTCAACAGTTATAGCCAATTATTTACATTGAAATACAGTTTAATTATATAGTGTTATAAGGCATCATATCTTTTAAATTATGTGTAAAATAATTTGAAGGTAACTTACTTCACATTAAAAAAAATAAGTATTCCGTAGACACAACTAAACACAGAAATCCACATAGTCTAAAACAATTTAAAAAAAGAACAAAAACCCTGTCTATTAATCAAGTAGTCCAATCAAACAGAGCAAAGCATATACACTGTACAGGTATAAAATGAGCCCGCAAGTGAAGATTTTAAAACTGTCATGAAAAGGAAGTTTACTTCAACACATTGGGAGACTATGTGGGTAATTCAACACTATGTATGGAAATACATAAACAACCTAATTGTGTAAGGCCTCAGTAATTTAAATGAGGCTAGTGCGAGGAGAAGATGAAGATCTACTCCCTAAATTGCGAAATGTTATCAGTTGGTTGCCTCATGTAATATGGCTCTTCAGAAAGTTATCAAATCAGTTATCAAATCAAACATTAGTTTCTGCCGGTCTGAAATGTAAACACTATTTTTGTTGTTAGAGGTCTACCATTACCTTAGCAACACACCTTATATGAATTAATTCATTTATAGCACTACCTTTGGATACATATTTGACGCAGCTCTGCCTGGGGAAAATGGGAAAGTGCAACATCAAAAAGTAATTTTCTGCTAGTTAATTACTTTCTAATTAAAAACTATACCTAAAATTGAATCTCTGCGCTGTTTTAACTCTGAGTCTGACTAGAAGTAGGAACAGATTTTAGAAATAAAGCCATCCTGCAAAAATAAATCCAAGTTAAGAGACACTCTACAAAATAAGCAGGATTCTTCGAAGTATGAAGGTCATGAAAGGTCAAGAAGTGTCACTGATTGTAGAAGACTAAGGAAACATGGCAAACTAAATGCAAGGAGCAACTCTGCAATGGATCCTTAATCATAGAGGACAGTGGAAAATCTGGTAAAATCTGAATGTATGTCACTTAATGAGTACTGTACCAATATGAAATTTGTGGTTTTAATAGTTGTACTAGGTAGATAAGATATTGAGAGATTAGGCGAACAGTATAGAATTCTTTTTTCAGCTCTTACATAAATCTAATTTCAAAATGGAGTTCTTTTAAAAAACTAAGTTGAAACAGACATGAAAATTCTTCTACCAAAAAAAAAAAAAAAAATACAAGAGGCCCATGGGATTACAACTGAGACAGAAAAAGGCACAATATGATGTAAAAATAAACTATTATATTATTTAAAAAAATAATTCCAAGAGCAAGAAAAACAGATTACCTCTTTTAAAAAATGTAATTTAAATAAAGAGTAAATGTCGTATTTTTGGCTGCAATAAATACACATGGACTGGATAAAAGGGAGGTAAGTTAAGAAACTACTCTTAAGAAAAATATGAGTCTAGAAGAGGCAGTGTTAGGTAGCACGCAGGTAACAATTTCATTCAAAACCTACAGATCAGGCATCCCTTGGAATTTTCTATACAAAGCTTACAATTCCTTCCACTTTAATTCCAAATCCAATGTCTTCATTCTCCCAG